AATTAGGCCCATTCAGACTCCCTCTCAACGATTGGGAGGCATGTAACTGGGGTCATCCCCATGGATTCCTGAGAATTTCATTAGCACCTGGTTTTTCCCTAACTCCATAATGCCTCAAAGTCTGTCACATCATGTAAGTGGGCTGACAAAGAGTAGCGCTCCATGGGGAATAGGTTCCCAAAGTCCACTTTTGCACTAGAGATAAGTACCATTTCCACTGTCAGAGGTCCCATAGAAACTTCTGTAAGACAAAAGACACACTTAACAAGACAAAACAGCAGCCCACAGGATGGGAAAACATCTTCACCAACCCCACATCTGACAAAAGGCTAATTTCCAAAACATACAAAGAACTCAGGAAGCTAGTCACCAAAATACCAACTAATCCAATTAAAAAGTGGGGTGCAGAACTAAATAGAGAATTTTCAGTAGAGGAATTCTAAATGGCTACAAGACACTTAAGAAATTGCTCAACATCCTTAGCCATCAAGGAAACGAAAATAAAAAGCACTCTGAGATACCATCTGACACCTTTCAGAAGGGCAGGCAGATGTTTTTTTATGTGTTCTTGGATCCAGCTGTGAGTTCTTATGAGTACAGGATAGTTGGTTCCATGGGTTCCTTTGTAATGACCTTGACTGCACCAGGTCCTGCAATTCTTCTCTTTCTTCAACAGGTTACTTCAAGCTCAGCATAGGCATTGGGTGTAGGTGACTGTTTCTTTTGTTTTACAGAATTTTTTATTTAAATTAGGAACAATCTTATTTTATATATCAAATCCAGTTCCCTCTCCCTACTATTTTCCCATAGCCCGACTGACTCACATCCCACACCTCTTCTGCTCCATAGACTGAGGCCATCTATGGGAGAATCATCAAAGTCTGTCACATCATTTATGGAAGGGCCTAAATGATAAGACATATGGTAAATGAATGTTGTCCTGGCAATAAGGCAGGCTAAATATGAACAAAGATCTGGCATTGGGACAAGATAGACATCCATGTCAGCAATGTGTGTTACCATTTACCTAAAGGAGACAGTTCAGTAGACTTAATCCCTGAGGAAATGCAGTCAACGGGAACACCTGGGTCCTCTACTCCTCCCCTTGCATCCCATGATGATCCTGTGAAGCCACATATCCCATCCAGAGCAGATGGCTGAGGACTTGGGCTCCTGTGCAGCTGTGCTGTCTGAGCTGAGACTCACAATGACATGCCCAGGTGACCAAGCCTAACTGTGACTCTCAGGGCAGCACTGCCTGGTCCCAAGAACTAGGAGGTTCTACTTTGTTAGCCCTGATAGGCAAGATTCTGAGCCTGCCCACACTCCCCAGCTCACCTGGAGTCAGGAATATGGGACATCAAGGAAAAGCCAGGAGGTCCTGATGGGGAGGTCTCCCCTCAAGTAAGATTCTATATTTCCTTCAGGCACATCCTCCCTAAATCACAAGGTTTCCATGGGACTAAATTTATGTTGAGATGCACACAATCTGGGCTTTTTCTGATACTTTGGATGAGTTAACTCACCTCACATCTAACTCTCAACAGGGAAAATTCAGACAAAAAATCTAGCATTGCAGTTTGTATCAACTGGGTGCATCCAAACTCAAATGTGGGGAAAATGAAATAAAACACTTTAAAAATCACGTATCATTCTGATCCATAGATCCATTGGTGAACATTGCTTCTCAGCCATTGTATACAGGTTCCAGTAAGCTTTGACACATGGCAGAGGTAGGTATATCTCTAAGACTGGAACAGTAGGTCTCACCTGGCTTCTGACTGGCAAGATACCTTTCCCTTCAGAGCTGTAACACTTACAGGTATTGCCTGGTTTCCAGTGGCCAGGATAACTTTCTCTTCAGATCTGTAGCACATACAGATATTGCCTGGCTTCCTTCAGATCTGAAATACCTACAGGAATTTCCTGGCTTCCAATGGCCATGGTGCATTTTACTACAGAGCTGTAACACTTACAATGTTGACAGCGTAAATAGGATGTCTCCATAACACCTGTCCCCTCAGAGGTCAAGGAAGCCCTCAGAAGAAGAGGCAGAAAGAGTGTAATAGCCAAAGGGAATGGAGGACACCAGGAGTACAATGCCCTGTGAATCTACTAAGCAAGTCACATGTGTACTTACGGAGACTGAGTCAGCATGGACAGTGCTACATGAGTTGGGAACAGGTACTCTGTATGTACATTATAGCTATTACCTTGGCATTTCTGTGAGTCATTTTTCTCTTAGAATAAGTGGCTCTGACTGTTGTGCCTTCTCTTAGGGCTTTTTTGCTCTACTTGGGTCACAGAGTCCAAAACCAATGTGATAGACTCTGGTTCATCTTATTATATTTATTTTCTCATGTTTTGTTGTTATCTCTTAGAGGCCTATTCTTCTCTAAAGAGAAAAAGAAAGGGAGTAGATCCCCTAGGTAGGGGATTTGGGGAGAAACTAGGAATTGTTGAGAAAAGGGAAATCTACAAACAGTGTATATTATATGAGAAAAGAAACTATTTTAAATTTTAAAAAATGCTCCTTCTTCAAAGTGGTTAATGGCATTAACAAACTATGTAGATTAATTCTGTTTTTAATGGAATAATTTTATTACTACTACAGCTGAAACTTGAGAACTTGCTTTTCATGTTTCAGATTACTAAAATTTCTATGACTACTCAATAGTGATGGGGAATTGTAGAATGACTTACACAAAACAAATACCTAGAAACCCAGATCCTACAGAGATGAAAGAAAAAGACACACAAAACTGATATGACTTATGGCTCATAAGACTGACTCAATAAAGAATCTGACAATAGTGAGCAAATTTTAATGATGACAACAGATAAACTAGGGGTAGAAGATAGATGGGCAAAGTAGGAGGACATGAGAAAAACCACTGCCAACTCCAGAGTCACAGGAGACGCTTAAGCTTTCCCTCTAAGACCAGGACTGACACAAAGATGCTGAAGTCGCTACATTTCTTCAGTATTCCCTTAGAAGCCCTAAAGAAAACAAATAGACAAAACAAGTAAATATAAAGCTTACAGTTAATTGGCTTTAAAATAAATCCACACACAGCATGAAAGTAATTTTGGAAAATCCCTAAGATTCCACAGAAGTTTCTGGAACTGTTGAACTAACACCCCCATCAAAGCTCTATTTATGTAAAATAATATTGCATGAAAACAATTAGACTCCCTATTTAATAATACACATAGGAAGCTAAGTGGCAATGAAGACTCCAGTGGCTCCCAAGGATCTCCCTATAAAGAAGAAACAGAGTAGAGTTTTGTGGAAGAAACTGGAGGCAAGTGTGAATGAGAGCAAGAGGAAATAGTGGGAGAGCTGAGATGGGAGGAGAGAGTACTTGGAGGATTGGCATGGTAGGGGCACTTTGGGAGCAATATGGAAAACTACTACAATAGGAACTCCATGAAATCTACAAAAGTAACACTGGTAACAACTTCTAGTAGTGAGATATAGATAGTCGGAAGCAGACATCATCTATAACACCAGAAGGCTTCCAGCAGTGGCACTAGGATACCAATCAGCTGTAAAAAAAATCCAATTACAATCTGTTCTTCCTGTAAGATGTACTGTGGTGATGGTGGAGCAGAAAGTGTGGCCCAGACCAGACACTGCTGGATGACTGGGAACCAGAGCCTGAGTGCCCAGAAATTCAGGACAGAATGAAACATGGCATAAATAGAAAAAAACATTTCAATGCAATGATTACTGATGATATTGTGTCACACTCATAGATAAGTGCCTAGCCTAATAGACATGGGGGGCATCATCCAACAGTTATGAAACAGATACAAAGACATAGAGCCAAACACATAGCAGGATTTGGGTAACCCCACAGAATGTGGGGACATTGGGTTGTGGGAACCAGAGGGATCAGTGAAACCATGAAAGCATGGAACACAGAATCAGTTAAGCAGGGCTTATAGAGGACCATAGAGGCTGAAGTGGTAATCACAGACCATGTCTGAGTTTGAGATAGGGCCTCTGTGTATAAGTAATAGTAATGTAGATGGGTATTCTTGGGGACGACATAGCAGTGAAACTGGAGAACATCTCTGACACATTTGCCTTCACCTTGTAACCTTTTCTTCCCACTGGGTTGCCTCTCCCAGCTGTGATATGAGAGATTGTGACAAGTCTCATATAATTTGTCATGCCATGTTCTGTAGATATCCATGGGAGGCTGGCTAATTGTTAGAAGGAAAACAGAAGAGGAATGGATCGTAGTTAGAGGGAAAGTGGGCTTTAAGATGGAATGGTAGGAGGGAAAATTGTGGTCAGAATGTGATATATGACAGAAGAATAAGAAAAGGAAAGAATACATATCAGCATGGAAAACACTCATGTGCAAGGTGCCCCTGAGAGTGACACTCTCAGGAAGAAAACAGGCTGATCTGTCCTTAAGTGAAGGATTTGAGCCCTGTACATCTAACAAACTGTGAGGCACAGCCATATGGAAACAAGCTGTGTCCACAGTGAAACATGGGCAGGCCTTTCTCTGGTTACACTTTCTTGCTTTACATGGATGAATGCTGGGCAGGTGGCACTGTGCCTAGGTAAAGTAATTAAACATGGAATGAATCTGAGCACATGAGAGGATGTTTTCCTGTGTGCAAGCAATCCACCATTTTCACAGCAGACTCTAGAATCAAAAAGTTTTAGGGATCCTGCATTGAGTTCCCATGAATTCTGAGGTATCATTGCACATTTGAACCACAACCTAAGCACTGAAGGCCTTTGAATTTTTGCTTACCATATTGATGTCTTTATGTTCCCTTTAATACAACCTCACTGTAAATCCTGGCCTTCCCTTATACACACAGGTACACCAGGATTATCACCGCAAATCGCCATGCTGACTGTACCTGAGTAGTAACTGATCATTTTTATCTCATAGCTATTCTCCATTTTGTACTCCATTGGTGATGAAATGTCAGCACTCTGCTGTAGAAGGAGAGGAGAAGTCACTCACTCATCAAAGCCAGGAGACTGAGAGACTGGTCTTTGAACGGAATCCTTTGGAGACCACGCACTTGTACTCTCCAGCATCTTCACTTGTGAAAGGATTTATTCTGAGTCCACACTTTGTTGGGGACAGAGTCATTCTTTGTAGGTGATTCATAGTCTGGTTATTGAAGATCCAGTGAATAGAGACATCAGCGTTGGGTGAAATGCAGGTGAAGATCACAGATCTTTGTCCTGCAACTGTGGTGTCAGTGACTCGCACAAAGGGCTGTGCCAAATTCTCTGTGAAGAAACAAAGGAGGTTACCATATGACATCACCTCAGAGAGTTCAACGGAGTCCTGTTGTAGTTAATAATTTACAAAACTTCCAAAGGGGCAAATTTGGAGCTGTGACTATAGACATATCTTGTATTTGAATGTGCCACCCAGGGATGTGTGACTCTAATTTAGGCACTGTTTCCTGTACTTCATTTTCTCCTAAATAGGACACACAGTGAATGGTCATTGTCCTATCCATGAAATAAGCTTAATTAAGAATACTGGTCTAGTGTGGGATGGGGAGCTGCTCACAGCGGCATCTGTTACCATATACATGCAGAAGAAAATTCCCTAGGTTGGAAACCTGAGGAGAAAGAGGAATCTGGAGAAGCTGACTCCTCTGTTTTTTAACCTTTCTACCTTCACTTTCCTGTGAAGTCTCATGAGCTCATCAGAACAATAGGCTAATGGCCCAGACACCTGTCCACTCAGACTCAGGAGAAGGAGAGGCACAGGAGACCTACCCAACTGCAGCTGTCATGGCAATATACAGCTAACACTAAACTCTGTGGGAAAATGAGTCCCATGACTTCTACAGGCAGTAAAGCCTTGTTCCCTAGTGACTCTGACAGGAAATCAAACACTTTTGAAAAACTCTCCAGTGTCACCTTGTGTACAACAAGTGGCAAAGTTTTGGGGTCAGAGCTCTCTGTGAGGACCTCATAGCTTCATCTGCTAGGGAATGCGTCATTCCCACAGTATTTCTGGTGACATGTTCATGGGGAGAGCTCCAAATGTCAGACCTGCACGTGACATCTAAGACTGGCTATCCCAGCACAAGTCCTCCTCTCTGCGGGTAAAGAGAGGTGAGATGTCCTCACCTATTGCAGCTTCTTTACCCACAGTGAATCCTGCAGTAAGGGCATAATACACACTGGGAGCCACAATGCAATTGGGGAGATGAGAGGCACTGTCCAATCTAACAGTTAAGATTATGACATAGGATAGGCCACACTCAGAAATTGTAGTCATTAGAGAGTACTTACTCTTTATGTAAAATTTCAGGAATGATTTTTCAATTTTCAAATCTTTGTTTACAATTTCTAGTGTGTACATCCCTTCATCTTTCCCAGTGAGATCCTCAAGCATCAGTGATCCATCATTGTGCATCGTCCCTCTTTTTCTGTATTCAGGACCCCAGGAGGTAGAAGTCGTGATTTTGCTGTATTCAACAATTTTGAGGACCTGTTCCCTATTTACCAACTTGAACCAGGAAAAGGCTTTCACATCTTTTGGAAGATTGTGAACTTGAAAATATACGTGTCCCCCTTCAGCAGCATACTGAGGCACTGCCTGGATCTTGAGTTGGGAAGAACATGGAGAAAGGGGGGCTGGAAGGGAAAAGAGTAAAAAGCCATCACATGAAGATCATCATTTTGTTGAAAAGATGGTGCTGTCCATCTGGAAAACATGGATTACTTAGTCTAGAATTGTAGGTATGGCTAACTCACTTAATGAAGTACATAAACATGACCTCTTCCTTTCCAAAAGTGCACCTGAAAGTGTCATTGCCTCTGCATGTATCTGACCCCTTGGGTTGATCCTTGGAGGCCCTTCAAGTGCCTTCAGTCAGACATTGCACACAATCATGCACACTATGATTTGACATGGTATTTCCCCTGAATTCTAGAAGCGTGGAATGTTCACTTCCTAGGTTTGTTTCAACCTAGAAAACATCCAACCCCTGATTTCACAACAGATGTGCTTGCTGCTCTGTCAAGTAGCTCTCAGGTCTAGAGTCTGGGGCAGTGTGGGGTCTGGGAGCCAAGGTAGGCTCAAGCCTTTGAAAGGCTTGAATGGTAGACTGGCTGGTTTTATGTCAACTTGACACAATCTGTATTTATTTTGGAAGACAGGGCCTCAGATAAAAATGCCACTACCAGACTGGCATGTCAGAAGATATGTAATACAGGTATTTTTAAATTGGGGATTGATGCAAAAAGATTCAGAAGAATGCATGTAGTTCAGGCCCTGAGCTAGGAGTCCTGGGTCATATAAGAGAGCTGGTTGAGTGGGCATGAAGATCAAGCCAATAGGAAGCACCCCTCCATGCTCTCTGTACCAGTTCCTGGATTTCCTTTATGACACTCTAAATTTGGAGATAACAAATACCATCAGTTTGACATGGGGGTTCTAAAACCATTGTTACCTATTAGCTTAGAGAGGATATAATAGTAGAAAGTGTTCCACTGGTTCACTTTAGTCCAGCCTTGGAAAGATGACAGGATTCAGGACTCCCTGGTCTAGAGCCCCAAGACACTGGGCTGTCTCTGACATCTTATGCTGAGTTACTTTCCATCGAGGGCTTCCTTGATGCAGAGAGATTCAGATGATGAAAGCTGCTCTATGGCCATTTGTCTCTACTAGATTCAGAAGATGAAAGCTCCACTAACTTCTCAACCCTTCACAAGGGAACACAATGCAGATGGATGGGAGGTCAGGCCAGCCACGTCAGTCCTGTGTGTCTCATTCCACCCAGCCCTGAGCATTCACAGGGAGTCACTTACTGTGCACCTGGAGCTGCACTTGTGTTTCCTCATGTATCTTGTCTGTTCTCACAATTTTCAGAGTGTACAGTCCAGGGTCTTTTTCAGTGATGCCATGAAGCAGCAGGGATCCATCACTATACAGTGTCTCTCTTCCAGTGTATGCAGGCCCCCACACAGTAGATTTCGTTTCTGTGTTGTATTGGGCAACCTCAATTTTGTTGAATACAGTCAGCTCCTTGAACCAGATAAAGGCTTCAATATTCTCCGGGGGATTGTGAATGAGAAGAAGAGCACTGCCCCCTTCAGCAATGCTGGGCGGCACTGATTTAATGGTGGGCTTGGAAGAGGTGTCATGGCGCCCACAAGTCCAAAGGACAGCTAGAAACAATGAAAAAGAGTCATATGAATTGGAAGATTTGTATTTGACTAATATGAGGTCCAGCATCCTGAACTGCAGTGTGCACTGCTCATCCAAGGCTTGTGTGAGAGTGTCCCCCTGTCCTACCTACTTGGTGGAGATAAGCACATGACCTTCATGTTCTCAGTTTCCCAACACTAGTCATTTCCACTATATGGTTCTCTCTGTCTCTCTGTCTCTCTCTCTCTCTCCTGTTGGCAACATTGCCCAACCTCACTGTCATCAAACCCCTGCTCATATCCACAATGGACTGGTTTTGGAGTGATGGCTGCCCAGCCTCTTCTCCTACACACCCTGTGTCTTCAAATTCTGACTTGGTTGTTTTATGTTCCTCTTGGCTTTATACCCAACAGGTGACTTGCAAAGAATAAATAAATAAAACTTGATTTGTCTTATTTAAAAAAAGTTTCTAAGAAAAAAAACTTGGATAACTGTACAGAATTGATGAATTAATGATGTCCCAGAACCCTGTATTCCCATGGATTTATTCAAAAGTTCATAGGCTAGGGGACACAGTATGGAATCATTCCATTCCTTTTCATTATTTGCACTTGTTCACATATTACATTTGTGTGTGAGTTTTTCTTAGGACTAGTCTCTGTGTGAGTGAGTAGGTGCAGGACACAGTACTTGAGTGAGGTCAGATGACAACTGTTTCGTTGGCCTCAGCTTCTCAGAAAAAAGAAGCAAGTGCCTTTATCCATTGACACATCTCGCTGATCCCCACACGCTTGATTTTATTTTTGCTTCTGAAGGCAATCTGAAAAGAGCAGTCTTCAGAATACTGTGGCCACGTTTATTAATTCTGAGTGAGAACAATGTGTATGGAGGCCCATGCCTGGGAAGCATTGGAGAGACAGCACAGCAGTGGTGGTAGCCTATGTAGTGGAAACATCAGATATACAGAAAGCTGGCACCCAGAAGCATCAACACCAGCTGCTTCCAAAAATAAATGTAAGAATTCCCTCTGGGAAACAGCACTGGTGTCCCAGTCAGGATCCAGTGCCATCCTATGTACAAGATACTCCTCCTCCTCCTCAGTGACCACCAGAGCCTTAGACCCTCATACACCTAGAGTAGCAATCACCAGAGCTGTGGCCCCACATGTACCTGGTAAAATGATCATCTCAGGTTTGGGTCTGCCTGTTCCTGGAGGAGCACATCCCTAGGGGCTCTGACCTGCTTACACCTGCAGGAGTGTATTGGTGAACCCAATGCCACCAACTGGAGGAAGAGGGACTCTCTCGAATCAGGGCTACAGCAGCACTAATTGGAGGAATATATGGGTAGACAGATGTGCACCAATACCCTCCACAACATAAAGAGCAACACTGAACCACAAGAAACAAGGCTTAAACATTCTGACACACTTCAGGCAAAACAAAATAAACTAAAAATGACTTTACAAAGTTGAATGAGGCTCTTAATAAAGAAATAAAAAATTTCCTTAAAATCAAAACAAATTAGAAGAAATCAAAAATGCCTTAAAGAAAACCAGAAAAAGCAATCCAACCGGTGAAAAAAGTGTACAACACTTCAAAATTGAAATAGAAACAATAACGTAAACATTAACCAAAGGAATTGTACATATGGAATGTTGTGGAGGTTCTTGTCTTACCAGGTCCCACCGCCCCGAAATAAATATATGGATGCTATACTAATTATTAAACTGTTAGTCGATGGCTAGTGCATCTAACTTGCTAGCTCTCTTTATCATCTTCCCATTTCTACTAATCTAAGTATTTCCACATGGTCCTATCTTATAAGAGTAGGGTCCAGACCTGCCAATCCTTCCTCTGATACATGGCATCTGTGCTGTCTCCCTTCACATACCCTGTCCAGAATTCCTCTTGTCTACAAGTCCCACCTATCTTCCTGCCTCTCCTTGACAAACAGTGTTATATTCAACAAACAATAACAGAAATATGTAGACAGAAGGGTATCCCCATCAATGGAAAACCTAGGTACATGAATAAGATCTACAGATGCAAGCATAAACAACAGAATATAAGATATGGAAAAGAGAATCTCAGATGTTGAAGATATAACAGAGGAAATAAATCCATCGGTCAAAAAACAATGTTAAATGCAACAAATACTTAATGCAACATATCCAGCAAATGTGGAACACCATGGAATAGAAGAAGTAAGCTCAAAGGCAAGGATAATATGCTCAACCAAATCATAGAAAAAAACTTATCCAACTCAAGAAGAAAATAACTATGAAAGTATAAATTACAAAACACTGAATAAACTGGACTCCAAAAGTCCTCTAGCCACATAATAATCAGGATAGTAAACATACAGAATAAATAACGAATATTAAGAGCTGCAAAGCAAAGACACCAAGTAACATATAAAGGCAGACCTGTCAGAATTATATGTGACTTCTCAATAGAAACATAAAAGCCAAAAGGTCCTAAATAAGCCTCATGAAGACATGAAGAGACTACAAATGCTGGCCCAAACTACTGTACCCAGCAAAGATTTCAATCACCACAGAGTAAGAACACAAGATATTCCATGACAAAACTAAAGGTTAAACAACACCAATCCACCAATCCAGCCCTATAAAAAATATTAGAAGGAAAACTCCAACACAAGGAAGTAAGCTACACCCACAAATGCACAGGCAAAAGATATTCCCACACCAGCAAATCCCCAAGGAGAAAAATGAGCACACAATATTAACAACAACAACAAAAAAGTAACAGAAGAAATTAAAGACTTCCTAGAATTCAATGAGAGTGAAGACACAACCTAAGAAAACTTATGGGACATTTTGAAAGCAGTGCTAAGAGGAAAGTTCATATCACTAAGTGCCCACATGAAGAAACTGGAAAATAGTCACACTAGAGAGTTAAAAGCACAACTGAAAGCTCAAGAATAAAAGGATATAAACTCACTCCAGAGGAGCAGACACCAAGAAATAATTAAATTGAAGGCTAAAATTAATAAAGTAGAAACTTGGAAAACAATACAAAGAGATCAATGTAACAAAGAGCTGGTTGTTCGAGAAAATCAACAATATAGACAAACCTTTATCCAAACTTGCCAAAAGTCAGAGTATGAACATGCAAATTAACAAACTCAGTAATGAAAAGGGAGACATAACAATGGACACTGAGGAAATCAAGAGAATCATCAGGTCATATTTTGAAAAAATTGCACTTCACAAAATTTGAAAATTTAAGGGAAATGGACAATTTTCTGGATTAATATCACTTACCAAAATTAAATGAAGAACAGATAAGCAATTTAAATAATCCAATAACACCTCAGGAAATAGAACCAGTTATCAAAAGTCTCCCAACCAAAAAAATAAAAGCCCAGGGCCAGATGGCTTCAGTGCAGAATTTTACCAGAAATTCAAAGAACAGGTTATACCAACTCTCGTCAAAGTATTCCATGCAATAGAATGAGAAGGGTCTTTGCCAAACTTTTTATGAGAAAGTGCTCAACATCCTTAGCCATCCGGGAAATGCAAATCAAAGCAACTCTGAGATACCATCTCACTCCTGTCAGAATGGCTAAAATCAAAAACACCAATGACAATTTATGCTGGAGAGGATGTGGTGAAAGGGGGACACTCCTCCATTGCTGGTGGGAGTGCCAACTGGTTCAGCCACTTTGGAAAGCAGTATGGAGATTCCTCAGAAAAATGGGAATAAACCTACCACAAGACCCAGCAACTCCACTCTTAGGCATATATCCAAAAGATGCCCATTCATATAACAAAGATGTCTGTTCCACTATGTTCATAGCAGCTTTATTTGTAATAGCCAGAACTTGGAAGCAACCTAGATGTCCCTCACCCGAAGAGTGGATAGAGAAAATGTGGTACATCTACACAATGGAGTACTATTCAGCAGAAAAAAATAATGGAATCATGAGATTCGAAGGCAAATGAATGACACTAGAAGAAACCATCCTGAGTGAGGTAACCCAGTCACAAAAAGAGAAACATGGCATGTACTCTCTCATATATGGATTTTAGACATAGATCTGGGGAGTGCCAGCCTACAATCCTATGGCCAGAGAGTCTGGGAAACAGAAACTTCATTTAGTGGCTGGTTAAGTACTGAGCTGAACTCAAGAAAGCCAGTATCAGAGAGGGAGGACTGATGATCAAAGGGATTAAGACTGGGCTGGTTTAACCCCCAGAAACAGCTGACCAGACAAAGGTTAACTCTTGAATCCCAGGCATCAGCCTGGAATCCAGCATGGGACTGATCAAGACCCCCTGAATCTGGGTGTCAGTGAGGAGGCCTAGGTAATCTATTGAGCCTTGGACAGCAGATCAGTACCCATCCCAAGTATACACACGGACTCTGGACTCCCATAGAACAATGTGAGGTGCACTCTCACCCTGAACTCTTGGGGAAGGGTCTAGGCCCTGCCCTATATGAAATGACAGACTATGGACACCCCCATGGAGGGCCTCACCCTCCCTGGGGGAATGAGGGGATAACGGGGGGGGATGGGGGGAGGGCACGGGAGGAGGGGAGGGAAAGGGAGAGGGACCTCGAACTGACTTGTGAAGCAACCTTGTTTCTTATGTAAATTTAAAATGGAAAATAAAATAATAATAATAATAATAAAAAATAAAATAAAATAATGGCAAATCGGATCCAAGAAAACATCATAACCATCATCCACCATGATCATGTAGGCTTAAGTCGAGGGATGCATTGATGTTTCTACATAAAAAATCCATGAAAATGATCCACCATATAAACGAACTGAGAAAAAAATCACATGATCATCTCACTAGATGCAGAAAAAGCCTTATAGGGAAAATGTGGTATTTTACACAATTGATTACTACTCAGCGGAGAAATACAGTGGAATCTTTACATTTGCAGGCAAATAGATGGCACTAGAAGAAACCATCCTGAGTGAGTTAAACCAGTCATAAAAAGACAAACATGGCATGTACTCACTCATATATGGATTTTAT